GTAGAGGTTTAAGAAATGAAGAAACGGTAACAATAATTGAACAAAAGATACCAATTAACTCTACATTAGGACAATGTGAAAATTTTAAGAATATTTTAGGGCCAAGCATTTACAAATTTTTATCAATTTTGTTTCTTATATAAAACTAGTACGTAGCAACGCTTATAAGGGTTAATAGTACAATTTACTAGATACAAGTAGCCTACAATATTAACTTTGTACGTCGTGTATTAACTTTGATGATTATATAATAAATTTTGCTAGGATTTTCACTTGTCTCCTTAACTATCTTTGTTAAACCGCAGTCTGTTATGAACACATATGTATCTCAATTGATTGTCTAAAACGATACTTAATTGAAATCAATTAGTACTAAAACCCTTTCATTAGGTAATCACAAAATCTAAACAATTAAGCCTCAATCTAATCTCAAAATACATGTGAATAAAAGTAAACATAAATTCGTCTTATACAAAATTTTACAAGTGTAAGATAGGTACTCCGTATGAATATCGGATTATATAGTTAAAAATAAAACTTCCACTCATAAGTAGTTCGTTGCTTCACATGGCATTATCACAAAACGCCAGCATAGCCAACAGTGTCTTGTTGTTAAGGTAAACGTGCATATACTTCGTAAGTTCGTATAACGTATCAATGCCAAGAGAAGATATTTTGCAACATGAATGTATGACGTAAAAGCAAAGAACAATAGAGTATAATGATAATGTTGCATATATATTTTTTTAGGTAATGGAAATATAATTGAAACGTGGCGGACAGTAAAGTGTCCTTTTGAAAATCTTAGGAGCTACCCTAGCCCCAAGTTATTACACCTAGCTATGCATCATTATATTAACAAAAATAGCCAAATATAGCAGATTTTAATATGAGATACGAAGTAATATTTACTATAAATGGCATATTATATTTAATGTTATAATGTGTGGTCTTAATTGCATGGTACGCATTTTTTTTTGCTTAGGAAGTTAGAACAACTTTCACTTAAGATTAATACCTAACTTATCAGATTAAATAATTAACGAAAATTTATCATCTACAAATGGATTAATATTATGTTGGCGAGCTTGCATTAAATAGCAACATAATGTACTGCTCGTTGTCTTCTTTGAAAATATAAAGGGAGTATTGACATTATTTCCATATTGCTTCAATAGTTCAATACAAGTATATGTTAATTTAGACTGACAAATTTCTAGAGGAAAATCAATATACTAAGGCTCCGTTTGGTAGGGCGTAAAATATTTTCAGTGAAAAGTGTTTTCCTATTTTACATTGTTTGGTTTGGTGTAATACATTAAAATGTAAAACTTGGGATGGAAAATCATTTTCCACCTTATTGAAAACATTTTTCCCCCAATTTAGAAGGAAAACATTTTCCATTACAAGTGGAGGGAAAACATTTTCCATTACAAGTGGAGGGAAAACATTTCCCTCACAATTGAATTTTCAATTCAACCAAACAATGGAAAATGGTTAAAATGGAAAATCATTTTCCATTCAACCAAACAACGGAAAACTTTTTTGAAAGTGAGTTTTCCATTGTAAAATGATTTTCATGGAAAACCATTTTACATTGAAAATGTTTTACACCCTACCAAACGGACCCTAAATGTTTTTTTTTTCCTGAATGAAAATATAACCAACAATGGTTTAATTCCCTTGACGCTTCCTCTGTGAATTAGTAATTTTAATAAGGTAATCACCTCGATCTTACAAAACATCTAGTACCTATGTTTTATATTATTTGTAACTTTTGTCAAAGTTGATGCAACACACATTATTTGCAACATATATTTTCTTTCTTTTTAAAGTTGTCATTTCTCTATATCCTTTTCTCCTCATCACATACATTTATATTTTTCTCTCTAACAAATAAAGTGCGGCCTTCAAAGGTGTAAGTAACATGTAAGGGAGGTAGTAATTTATTGTAATAAGTATAGAGTAATACTTATTTGATACGGTGGTATGAGTTTGAAATCAGATTTGAGGTTAAGATGGTATTGGGTTGGAATTTGATACTTAATAACATGTGTTTGGTTCAATTCTGGAATGGAATATCTCACTATTTCCTTCTTTTATTTGATACCTAAGGGAATGGAATCGGCCAAACCCACCCACCCCCAAAATTTCTAAACCCCATACCTCATGGGATTGAGATATGGGTTTAAAATTCATACATTTAACAACCAAACATATGGTATATGTTTTAGTTATTCTAAACCCATATCTCATACTTATATTCTGCAAACCAAACGTTCCCTTAATTGATCAAAGAATTAGCATAGAAATAAAGAATTCATAAGTCATAACAATATACTTGTACTTCTTATATGCTTGTGCTTGAGTCACATGGATTACTTGGGCCGATATTTTGGCAACAAACCCTTATTATACTGTAATTTATAATCCTCATCAGTCAACAGGCTTATATCACTACCTATATTTGGGCTAACTAGGTGGGTCCAAACCCTTCACCTCACCATACAGTTACGTAGGTTTATTAATTGTTTATCTACAGAATATTATTACCTCCGTTAATTTTGGTTTGAGGTATTATTTTTGAGATAAATTTTTTTTCAAAGTTGCAAATAACAATCAATGGAGGTAGTTTATACATCAAGTGATATTACTATTATTATATTATATATGAAGGTGCCTCTATCTTACTATTACCAAAGGGAATTCACTTTTTAAGATAATGAAGAGCCTGATATTGTCATCTTTTTTTACACGAGATCTTTAAATACATTTAAAAGACAAAATCATTGCCAAAATATCCTCTAAAATGGAATCAAGGTTAGAAAAATAAAAGATCTTATTTCTTTAAAACTATGTCACGTCGTTGATTAGGAGGGGTTTGAACGACCTGACTATTAATTCCAAATGGCGATAATATTTTAAGGTTAGCAATTTTGTATCAAGAAAACATAATAAACTTTAATCACCAAATTTCCGGAGGTGAGGGTGGTTCCCGAGTCTCGGAATCCACCGTCCAAAAACCTTTAGTAAAATGAACTCTTAAGCACCTTCAAAAGCTAAATATGGCAGCAAAATGCAATGGTTCATATGATATTATCATGTTGGCCCTTTATTATTACTAAAAAGATGAAATTATGATATTTATATGACTAAATGATGAAATCTTTGGCAAAATCTACTCAATGAATCATGGAAAGCCAATCATCTACAAGTATTAGATTTACATGGGGCTCAAGGGTTAAGGAAGAGGCTAAAAAAGATTGTGGCCACTTTTATAAATAATAATAAAGTTTGTGCAGGAGATATTTTTCTTGTGATATTTTTATATAAAAAATTAAACTTTGTGTTAAATTCAACTAGATAGTTTTTTTTTTTTTTGAAGACACTACTTGATAGTTTATAATAATGCCATTTTTGTTCTTATCTATGTTCAAAATTTTCATCATTTAATTTTGTTTATTATGCTAGAGTGTGCTAGTAGTGTGCATCTTGTTCATTTTATTACTATCTTTTGTTTAGTATGGTATTAACATAATCTAATCTACTCATTTTGAGTAATTTTATTGATTATACATACAAATTATAAAAATATACATATTAAAAAAAAAAAAAAAAAAAAGAGGATAGGATTAAAATCTGAATTTCATTTAATATCATATAAGGCAGTGTTACACGTTATAATTTATTGTGAGATTGGAAGGTTAATTTATTTATGCTAATGTATATGACAACATTACACCTTATCGTGAAATTGGAAGGAGGGGAGACTTCTCTTGTAGTTCAATCTCAAAAAAGACGACATTACTTATCTTATGATGGCCTTCTTTGGTACATATGACTTGGAAGTTTTATAAAAATACAGTGAAATAGACCATCACCAAGATTAGTACATAGTACAAGTTTAAGAATGGTACATAAGACTAGAAGTTAATATATTGTACCGAAGAATTGCAAATTGTTGATGCAAGGTTTATGGTGTATTAGAGAGAGGGGATGGAACTGCAATCACTAGAGATCGAAGTGGATGATAACGGGCCGTCTTCGATATACCTTAGCTTCATCCATTACTCTTAAGTTAGTGTTATAAATGCAAACATGTATACAATATAACATCAGTAAAAATTGGTTGTCTGATGCAGTAAGCTAGGGGCGCCCGCTCTGCTCTACAGCTGCAAGTCGTGTGAGAAACCTGTAACACAACTTCTGAAGTAGCAAGTATACAACAAACATAATGCTAGCTCATACTTTAGAAAAGAAATTGAAGGACAACATTTTATTGAAATTATTCTCCCATTAATTTTCTATTTGCCACTTTATGTAAAGATAGTTGCACACTTATACATGAATCAACAAGCAAGTTCTAAATTTTAAGTCTCCAATTGTAGTAAAATGATCAAATTGAGACAGTAGTTAGGTTGCAGTTTTACATTTTAGTATTTTCCATTAACAGGGCTCTACACATGAAGCACAACATGTTTAAGATGAACTTGCAAGTTCATGTCCAAGATGGCGACTGCATAGGGTTATCATGAAATCGAGTTTCCAACGGCTCCATATGTCAGCACGCAGCTGCTCTACATTCGAAGAGGGAGTGAATGATGGTTTCACTAGAAGCTCCACACACTGGACATAGTATCAGTAGCAATATGGCGGAAGTGTAATCTCTCCTTAACCGTGAGATTCCCTTTATTTGCGCTCCAGAGGAAATGCGGAGCTTTGGAGGGGCATTAATGCCCCATATTGAGCGCCAGAGCATCGTATCATCCGCTGCTCATTGAACTCCCTGAATAGGCGGCGGCATACCCATCTTAGCTAGCCAATACCCAGACTTAACAGCTTATATTCCCTTTTTTTGTGAACCTCCAAAATTGGGTATCCTGCAGCCGTCTAAACTTTTACGACTCGGTGATGTGGTAAGTCAGTGTTTATTCTGTGCTGGATATCAGACTTACCAATCTCGCATATCTTCAATTAAAATCGCAAGGCGTATTGGATCATTTTTTTTTTTTTTTTTTTTTTATTGGAACTAGATCAGCAACTCCAGCAAGAAAGAATGATCTCATTCAACATTTGTTAGAAGTTCTCCTCGTTACGAGTTCAAGAAAATGAAAAGCACGTATTCAAGGCACGAGCATTGAATGACCAGCAATACCAGAAAAACAGCACATTTTTATTCTGCCACATTATTTTATTTCTGCGTAACAAAATTTCTACTACAACAATACGATGTAAGATTTAGGCAGGTCTTATAGGAAATTTGAGATGAACTATGAACTGAAACTGACTTACAAAACCTTTAAATTACTTTTGGAGATAGATAAAGACAGTTTTTATTTGTGGCATTGTGCCGGAGCTATAAATACTATGAGGCCTCAGTAGCAGCAGCCATTGTTATTTGTGTTAAAGGTTGCAGGTGTGCAGATAGAAACTCCACTTCGTGACACCCCTATGCAGTCGCCATCTTGGACCTCAACTTCCAAGTTCATCTTAAACATGTCGTGGTTCAACAAAAACAGCAGTCGTCTTAGGAGGTACAGTAAAGGATCCAGTAGAAGGCTCATACTTTGACTCCTTAACGATCGTGTCCCCTGACATTGACTGCAGAGTGCAGAAGGAGACAACAAAGAGTTAAAATGAGAGTGACAAGAATTAATTTTGTTAACAGAATGACAAAGATTAGTAAGTTGTAGTTCTAGTTCACACTACAGAGTTTGAGAATTGTAATAGGTCATTATAAGCGGGTTTCCTTGCCAAAGGTTTATATAAGATTTCAAGGACAAGCGATACAAAATTATTAGTGGTGCCCAGAGTTTTTTTAACTAAAGCACATACCAGTGGCAAAAGGTTCGTTCGGATATGGATTGGTTTGCAATAATTCAGTCCGAGTTATATTTGGGTAGCAAGTCATTATTCATGGATCAATTCGCGGAGGGCCACATAAGCATAATCTAACAGCTATATTATTAATTTTAGGTCAGGACAATCTGGTTCAGAACAAAATCATGTTGTCTAGTTTCAGTTAGACTTGGGTTAGTTTATTTTAATTAGTGCTATATTAATTTTGACAGTTCTAGATATTTGGACCAAGAGTGAACATTGAACAAGAAAAGCAGAAAAAGAGTAAGTACTTGTTACCACTTACCAGTACTGGATGTAGCTGTAGAGATTTAGCTCGAAGATCTGGGTTAGTAAATTTGGTTTCAGTAGGCTGAACATTGATCATGACAACAATATATTGGAACCTGTAAAAAAAGTATTAGAATATACTTCTTCCCATCTATCAAATGTTAGTAGCTGACAAAATTAATAAACTTTAACTAGAGAGAAGTGCAAGAGTTTCACAAAATTACTTGGGATCTATTTGCGACAAGCCAGAGGCACCCGCATGACCATCTTCAATGCTCATAGCTATAAGCCCAGGAATCCAAGAAGGGACATTATTGTGGAAGCGTACTCGATCCTGAGAAACATCAATGATCATGCATAAATTTTGTTTCTGTTAATCAGTAACCTAATTAAATAAAAGGAAGAGTATGACTTCATTTTTAGAATGCTAAGATGAAACATAAAATCTTATAATCCTTTCCTAGCAACATAACTGCTCATATTAGCAAAATATAGGCCCATGCAGTTAATTAAAAGACATATCTTGCTTTTAGTTAAAAGATCGTATTTGTTTTGTGAAATCATGTAGTTTGATATTTATGCAAATTAAATAACCTGCTTTTACCTCAATATCCTTAGCACTTCTTAAACGGAAAAGTGGGGAAGAGTATCTAATTTGCAATAAGTTGGTGAAATTTTCAACAGCAGCAATAATGTGACTCTTGTCGGGCTTGTATGATGGATTTTCCAGTCTTTGCTTGATTCTGAAAGGGTATATCCATGAAGATAAATCAAATTTTGTATTTGATTTGAGCAAGAAGTCGATAATGATGGAATGTCAACATAATATGAAACCATATATAAAAGAAACAAAGCTTACATAGGCCAATTGTTCTGATTCTGATCCTTGGGAGGAAGACCAACGCCCCAGTTGTTGGTAGTATAGCTGAAGTCCAATCTGATGAAAGACGTAAGAACAGGAGTGCATAAGTATAGTGTAGTGAAATAAGATGAAATCATCATTGATAACACCATCATAAAATGCTTGGAATATAGTGGACAACAGAATATGACATTATTTTTGCGGACGTTTGGACTCAAAAAAAAAAAAAAAATGGAATCATCACAAACCTGTTAAACCAATCACCAGAGTTGTAAGAATCACGGTCAAGGGACTTTGAACGTAGCAACTCATCACCAGCATGGAAAAAAGGTATTCCCTATATTCGTAGAAGACATTCAGAAAACGTGGTATCTTATGCAGTATATATTGTTTTAATCAGAGGCATATAAGCTTAAAACATTATATAGTATGAATCATCTATCTATCCAGTCACACCAAGTCAAGGACCTTTCTGTTTTCTTTATTGATTCTGTATAGTTTTTTCCCCTCTGTAATCGTGTGTTTTTAACTTATGTCTCTTCATCACTTCTCACCACAAATTTTCTCTTGCATAAAATACTCCGACAACAAATTCAAGGGGTAAGGCTAGAATGTGTAACCTTCTTAAGCCATGCCAAAGGAGAAACTTTACCATGCAGTTATAACAAATTTTTTAGACAGGTATTTTAGTTTCAACTTCAGTATGTACTCAGATTTTGTTCTGTAACATATATTTATCCCCCCCTTCTCAAGTTATAGCAACACTTAACTTCAATTGGCGTTAGTATAGCACAAGATTTTGTAAAATATAAAGAATTAAGAATAGTAACCTGGGTAAGTGCTATGATACTCGTAGCTAGATGATTTACCCTACATCTCTCGTCCAGCGAAGTATAGGTAGCAGTCTGGATAACCAAAGAAATTATATTAAATTCAAGGTAAGATAATCTTCAGTCCCTTGACTGGCAAAAATTATGGACTTTTGCAAATATGCACCTTCAAACTGACAATATCGAAAAGAGTTTCATTATCATGAGCTGAGACATAGTTGATCTGCAGATATAAGGTAAATGTAAGAAATAAACAAAATATATTTAGCAAGCCTTGTGATGCATCTAATGAAGTTTGAAATTCAAACAGATTTTCCAATTGATACTCACAGTTTCTATAGGCTGCAAAGCATACCCAACCGGTGATCCACCATAGGTATAAACTTCAGAGCCTTTTACCTGGAAGGCAAAACAAAGGTTTATGCAGTTGACCAGCATAAGAAGAAAATAAAATTATGCCAGAAACAGAGCATATAGGACCTTTTCATCAGCAACAGAAATCAAAGATAAGCTCTAGCAAATAATCAAGGGCACAAGGAGGAATTCAAAATATGAAAGTTTTTTTTTTTATCAGATTAAGCTGGGACTTGATTCCAGTCCCAACTCAAATTGCAGTCCACGGAAGAAGATTCTTGGTAGCGTCATTTGGAAGGCACACAAAGAATTGAATAAATGCTATAGCTATCTAATATCTATAGACAAATGACTTGCAATGGAGATAAAAAAAAAAAAAAAAAAAAAAAAAGAATGTCAACTATAAGCTAGTTAGGTGTATTCTAAGTTCTTCCAAAAAAAAAAAAAAAGGTGTATTCTAAGTTTTGCTGAATGCACGTCATAAATTTTGGATAAATATTGATATCACTTGAGATCATTGTCATGAAATTTATAACAGAACCCATGAAGTTAAACACCCTCATTTTCACATCAATTGCTTAGCCATATAGGCAATTTGGCATCATTCACATTACCCACACCAATTAACCTTGAACTTACTGTCAAAGAATCCCCATAGAAGATATGGATGACATGTTATGGAATGATCAACATATATAGAAAAGATAGAGAGGTGATACATACATCTTTGAGGGCTAATGATAGTAATTGCTATTGATCAATGGAGACATGTTATAAAATTCAGGTGCTGATGATGAAGAAAGATGCTGCTAATAATAGTAATTGCTATTGTAATGCTAGCATAAGAAAATGTAGCAAAATTGAACACAAATCAACAGTTATCAAAGTCACTTTAAAGAAGTCCAATTCAAACTAAGAATAATATTTCAAAATGGAGCCTGATAAAAAAATACCATCAAATTAATAGCTAAGTGATACAATTTTTTGAAAGGGCTCTAATGAATGGTGAGGAGGAAAGACACAAAAATACGAAGCCCACATCATAAAATAAAAAACCTTTGAGGTCAGCGACCAAAAGAATTTGTATTACATCAGAATTTTGTTGTAAAAGCAATTACCTGTCTGCCATCACAGTTAGTCAGCATGAAGTCTCTCAAGTTTGCTGCCAACCCAACCTAATTCATACCAAAGAAAAAAAAGAGAGCTTGATTAACCCACTGCAATAACATAAATAAAGAATTGAATCTGATGCGAATCTGTTGCTGGTTGCTCTGTAGATGGTTCAGATGGCAAAGAATATTACAATTACAAAATTGAAAATATAGCAGAGATTATACTGCAACCGTGACTTCAAGAGGAAGTGATAACTTTAAGAGACAGTTGTCAGTACAAATTAAAGACATTGAATCTACAATCTGCCTGAAACATTACTAGTTCAACCCTAGTTCACCTTCAATTTTTCCCACCAAAAAAGGAGGGAGAGAGCGCAGGGTGGGTGATTGGTTTTAGCCTTGGATATTATAGCCTTCAGAAAGAGTGAACGGATTGAAGACTGATACTAATCACAAAGTGAACCTATCCCTGCCCTGCATTGGGATTTAAAGTTTATCCTATATAAAATCCTTCTAATATGACATCAGTCAAAAAGACATGTAAAAGAGCAATAACAATTTGAATATATAACTCCTCCGCCCTCAGATTAGTCAAAATTTCCTTTTTAGGAAGTCCCAAATATTTGTTACCGTTCTATAGTAATATGTTGAGCATTGAGACTTTTGAAGGGAAATTGTGGTTGGTTGGAACTTGTAAGACAAAAAGATATTAGGAGACCAAACAAAGATGTTCCTTTGATTTTGTACCTTCCTTGAGTATGATAAGTAAATGCAGATAGAGTATACACGATTTTTCACCTATCAATCTTTCTTTCTTGACAGCAAAATAGCCCCATCAAGAGCATATTAATTACTAAAAAAGACATGGGACTGTTCTCTATACATTATGAAAAACATGATATATGTAAAATGAGTAAACTATTCTGATCACATCAAAGATAAACGAAAAGACAACCCTTAAAACCTCTACCTTGGAAAAATAAGAATACTGAAGTCACTCCAAGTACCGACATTATTCAAATTAGAAATCATTACTCTGCCTAAATACTTAAAGATAAACGAAAAACAGCATGTAACAAAAATTTAGTCTTTATCTTCTTCAAGCAAGAAAAAATTATACAAAGCAAATCCTTTGCAAGGCAACTGCTTTCTGAAAGTAGCACAGAACGAAATACAAACTAATTCTATAAAGAATTAATATTTAACGATCACTGTATCCTTGTCATTATCTATGGAGAAAGCGGAAAGGAACTGAGTAAAGAACCTGTATGTGATCTTTTGCCACAGCGAGCATACGATCTGCATTAGCTTTGCCACCATGGTCATTATCATTAGGCTGCGGATCAGGAAAGATTAAAAGATTCAAGAACGCCTGTTGCTTCATTTTACTTTATTGATGAGAATTATACAATTTTGGATAAAAGATTTCAAACACAGAAAAATCACAAAGACAAATTACTTAGTGGAAGATCCATTTGAAGAATAATATACCTGTAAAGATAAGCCAGTCACGTAACCTTGCTGAAGAAGGGGGCCAAAAGGGCCCCCGCCAAGCACTGCATCTCGAATTCGATCATTGAAACTGAACAAGATTTGGCAGGATTAAAAGTAATTGACTGATAGTAGTTCTGCTTGACTAAGATATTATATATACAAAAAGCATAATAAGTCAAGACGATTGAACAATTTATTTTATCAAGGACAAGAAAATATATGTGAATAGTGATTAATTTAAGTTACTTTACTTAAGACTAACGGAATAAACTCCTCACATCACTTCCGAATTAAAGAGAATTGTAGTTTAGTGGCATCCTCAAATCCTCGTCACTTGCCCAGAAGCACTGCCCAGGTATGATACAAGGTGACAAAATTCTGTTCTTGAAGATCTTTAGCTGTGGTTCCCAGGGGATAGCTTTCACATCATACTTTGGTATTACTTATTAGGCCTCAGAGAGCCAGACCCAACAGGGCCAGTCTTGGTATCTTAATAACTAGTAAGCTTCATGTACTTGGTACAGTCTATATCCATGTGGCATGTACACTTTTTTGAACACTAATAGATTTTGAAATCTAGACCGACAAGAAATGAGTTAGAAGTCTTAGAACTCTTGCCATCTAAGCTATCTTTTAGTTATGCTTGCATCCTCAACCCAAACATAACTAATGTGGATAGAAGATGTTTGTATTGTGTTTCTTTTCATTAGTTATTCTATCTTTTGCTAGTTTCCATTACATAATTTGTAGTTTGGAACTCATATAATACAGTAGGATATTCAAAGTAATGACCCAGGCCCAAGCCACATACTAGTTAATTTAGAAACTGAACAATTAAAAACCACATGATATCCCGTCTTTTGTGTGATATAGACATTTAAGTTAAGCACAGAGTATACATGACATTAATTTTGATCCACCATTTTTGGTCACAAAAATATATACATTATATAAATTTGTAGCATTGAAGGGGACAAACATTGAACATTTACCTTCCAATTCCTGTGCCACCAAGATTCATTTGAGATGCATTTACTCCACGTGCATTATTTGCAACCTCACCAAAGTCCCATCCTTCACCATATCTAAAGGAAGATCATATGGTAATCCAAATAATAGAACCAAGACAGAATAGACAGGATTTATTTAAAAAAAATGGCAAACTCAGAATGGAAGGGAAATACAATTATACTTGTGTATACAAGTGATAAAATTTAGCGGCCATCAATGGTTGCCACTTACATATAAATGCTTGAACCTTCTACACCATCTTGGGTTCTTGAAAGGCCTTGGAGCATACTTGTTGCTTTCACCTGTAACCAGTAAAAAAGTCATTTAGATTCAAGTTTTGAGCTGATTGAGTGACACATACTTATAGAAAGCAAACCAAAGAAGTAGCTTATTAACTTAGAATTCTTTTCATCTAGAAACAGATAAATTTCAGACAGCGGGAAGAGAGCCGATTAAAGTTGTTTCCAGCCAAAGAATTCAGTCAGCTACCAGGCTATTGTTACTTTCATTTATTTTTTGGTAAAAATAATCCCAACTTTTGCTATTAGCTTTAGATGGCAGGGTGAAGGGAATTCCTAATGTATACTTTCAATTGCACAATTCAGAAATTGCATATTTAAGTAGCCCATGTTTCCTCTAGAAAAAAAAAATACTGAGAAATGGTTTGAGAGGGAAAGGTTACACATAAGATTATAATAATACCATATACTACCTACATTTCTTAATAGTTGCATCATTTTGACTAAACATGTTGCCAATACATTTCTTTGACCATTAATATCTTTAATTATGCTTTTATAACAACTATAAAAATATATATGTTTTGAAAATATATATTAGAATAACACAACAGCATAAAATGATGAGATTTATTTTTATATATTAGTAAACAAACATGGCCAAAGGTAGTATAGGAATAGCATAAAAGTCAAGATGGTGCAACTATTGAGAAATGGAGGAAGTAGGTTATAAGAGAGTGGAGGTTCTCTGGACAGCAAAGTAAATTAGGTATCATGAAATCACGATTCAAGCTAAACTATGTATCTATTCACAGGTTACTGGGAATAGGAATATAAAAGGCTTATGTATGTATCTATTACATGACTGATTACATTTCACTCGCCCAGCAGTCAAGGTTATCTAAATTAAACTAGAAGAATAAGAAAGAGAGATCAAAATCCATGATGGTGTAGAAGTACCAGAATACTACAATCTGTAATTAAAGAAAATTCTTAAACTTACAAATACATACCATTGTATGTTTCATGATGTGGCCCATGAGATCAAATCTGAAACCATCAACCTGCAAGAAAGGGTGGTCATAAAATACAAATTTCAGACATTTGCATGATGAAATTGAGATAACAAAATAAAGAACTATTTAACAACAATAATTGACAAAAAGGGAAAGCTCTCAGCCTAGTCTAATACTAGGTGCTAGTCCTAAAGCGACCTGCACCCTGCCATCTAAAGCTAATAGCAAACACACAAGATAATCATATTCAGTTTTCTTGTCTGTTAATAAGAGGCCAAGGTGCAAATTTTTTGTCTATGAAAAGGAAGATTCTAAGGCTTCCCTCTTCTTTTAATCCAACAATAAGCAACAAAATCACAAAAAAAGTATAAGGGAGAAAGATTCGACAATTCAAAATCAGTCAATCACCTTATAATTGATGGCCCAATGTTTTAAATCATCCAAAATCAGACGTTCAACCATGTAATGCTCACTAGCTGTGTCATTTATGCATGTGCTATTCTCAATAGCACCATCAGCATCCCTTCTTAAGTAGTAACCCGGAACAATCTATAAATAATACGTTTAACACCAGGTTAAACAGATGGGAATGAAAATTCATAAGAAAGCATAAAATGGAATGAAGAATATGCACACCTTGTCAAGAACAGAGTTTACATCGGATGGCCCACTGCTATTTAAATGGTTATAAACAACATCCAACACTACACGAAGCCCAATATGATTTAATGCCTGTAACCAAGTCAATATTTTAGTTTTATGATGGAATGGAAAGCTAGATCTGAATTCTAGCTCTAAAAAAGATCACACTTTCCCCATGGTAAAAGACTAGAACGCAAGATACACACCTGGACCATCTTTCTGAACTCAATTATACGGGATGGGCCATTAGGATCAGTTGCATAGCTTCCCTTAGGTGTCCCCCATAAAACAGGATTATATCTTCATAAAAGGAAAAATTAGTAACAAAATATCAGATAATGTTGCAAGAGAAGGGAATTTTGAACTAACTACAGTCCAAAGGGATTGAAGCCTACCCCCAGTTATACCCATCCTCATCACGGATGGCAGTTATTTGAGCTTGTTGCTCTTCTGAATCAGGTGGTAGTGTTTCTAACATCTTAGTATCTGAAAAAAGGTTCTTATCATTGAAATGACTAAACATAGAGCCCGATACATACTAATATTATTAAATTAAAATGACTTCATGGCAAATGGATAAGAATCAACTAAAATACGGCAAGAAACCAATAGGAATACTAAAATATGCTAAAATAACCGAAAACAAATGCAAGCTAAATTCTAGCAGCCATAGACAGCTTGTTCCATAAGGACCTTTCATCTGTTCCAAGTAAACATCTCATTTTTTTAATAAACCTTTTTTGGCCAGATTCAAGCATTAACCATAGTGGGTCATGACTTCCTAGAGATGATACACTTAGTGGTGCACACTGAGCAATACACCAAGCTTTTAGGGCCCCATTTCTGTGCCAAGCCATTGAGTGATCTATACTCACATCTATCTAAAATATCCTATTTAAGGACCTCAAACAAAGGATTTGAGGCATATCAACAAAGAGTAAGACTATTCTCAGATTTACTGACCAAGCAGCCTGAAGGAACGCACCACTTTCAGAGAGCCAGAACTAAGAGCCAATAAAAGGAGATTTATTCTGCCAAAACTTGGTGACTTTTCAGGGATATAACTAAGCGTCAACACATGTAGAGGAAAAGGCCCATGTAATTTTAGATTCAAATCCCCTGGAAAATAAACCTTTGACACAATGTTTGCAATAATTTTTTTTTTTTTTTTTTTTTTTAAGTTGACATATTCTAGTGTAGTTAAAATCATGGTTTATTATTCTACATGTTCCACAACAACATTAATAAGTTCTTTGAAGGCTATAAGATCTTGAAGACTTGAAGTATTCAATCAAGAGAATATGCATGCTCTCACATCTTAGGCAGAAAAGTTTCAATAAAGTCTACGCTGCTTTGAATGTTAGTGTTTGCGATGCAAATGGAAACTTTAGTTGGGGAGCGATCCACCAAGCAAATAATTTCAAAGGCTACTAACACAATTTCAGCAATGTTTGCTCCTATATAGATAAAAGTTTATTGTAATGTGTGATCTACACACGTTAGCATCAAATTGTTAGAGAAAGCAGGCAATAGTAATTACCAACAAATTTCCACTTCTTTTTGTCATCATCAACTTCAGCAAACTGGAAGCTTGGCAGCAGATGCACGTGAGTAAGACCAGCAGCTGATAACTTCTTCAAATGATTAACACCAGCTGAGTCCTTCAAGTAGAAGTTTAATCAGTAAGGCTACATAGAATATTCTTTCTCACTGTAAAGGTCAGCTTAGCCACTATAATTATACACAAAAAGAATGTAAAGGTCAGCTTAACCAATGTAATTATACAAACAAAGACTGTGAAGGTGAGCTTAACCAATATAATGATAAAGGTCTTGTTTCCCAAAACTTAAACCACTATTAGGGAGATATAATAGACTAATAGTGATTGTAACACTCAATAACACCATCAGATGCAGCATCAAGTGAGATATTCTAAATAAACTTGGCTAATGTGAAGAGTAAGGGAAATGAAATTGGGATTACACCCCTTTTCCCTTTCTACTGATTTCTATAATTGATCCTTCAGTTTGTGAAAGATGCATAAACATGTAGACAGTCCCAGCTTAATTTGACACATAGACTTTTTGCCACTCAGTGATAAGATCATCAAAACATTGTAAATTAAGCTCCCTCCATTCAACGCGCTCCGTTGCTGGCTTTCTTCTTCATGGAAGAATATCAATCTCATGTAAATTTCTCCTTTCATTTTGAAGTTCATTTCACTACCCAGCTTAAAGGCAATATTTTATTTTTTGTGTTTCTCTGTGTGTGTGTGTGTGTGTGTGTGTTGGGGGAGAGGGGGCTGAAGAACTTTTATTTGAACGCAATCAGTTACAGGATTCATAATTTAAAACATGAGTCAGTTCAGTATTGAATTTGATATACTGAAGAAAACATCCAAGCAAGAATAAAAAAGTCTTTTAGAGTAGACGAACAAAAATTATATAAATACCTGTGATGTGAAAGCAAGGTATCCACCACGAAGGTCAGGGTTCACAGTGAGGTCGTAAGCACTGTAACAGAGCACAGTTGTTAAAGCCATAAGCCCACAAATCCTCAACAGTGCCCCAATGATAAGATTGATAACATTAAATCACAAAGATTAGAAAAAATAAAATTGAAGCCCTGGAGATTTACAATGGAAGCATTTATATAAACCTAAATCTCCCCAAAAATGGGCCAACCCAAGTGTGTAAATTATTAGAAGTTATTTCCTGAAAGCTGTTCATTTTTCCTGGTCTCAGTAAATTAATTTCATTCAAAAGTTGTAGCAAAATTGTATCTACCACTAACAAGGGATATATGTGATATATGATAGTAATTTTCACAAAATTTGTATATTCTGTTTCCAAGATATTACGAAACCCACCTGAAATCTCTTATATGCAGCTCATAGATACTGATGTCAGAAGGAGAAAGAAGATGAGGCTTTTCATCAGCCAGATTATCCCATCCTTCAGGCTTTAGAGATTCAGACTTTATATCAGCCAATAATGTTCGCTTTACATCTGCTGAAACCCTAGTTTAACCAACAAATAAAACATATGTATCCTTAAATATATGTTGCTATTGGTCCTGTTGATAATAGCTATAGCAGATGAAGGATTAAAAGCTCTGCATCACTTTTCACGTTTGAGGAAAACTGACATACCCTCTGGCATATGGATCAATAGCAAAGCATTTTTCAATTCTCAAGGTGGTATGATGGTAGACAGTGACTTCATACACATAGTAACACCCTTCCCAGCTTCTTGGTCCAACAACACTCCAAACACCACTTGATTCATTTAGCTGAACAGTTTGTAACGGTTCACCACCTAATGGGTCCCTATATATGCTGGTATTCACAGCCTGCTTGTTTAAACAGATAGCACACAATTTCCTCAAATAAGCACATAATGATCTAAAATAAGTGCAGGTCTTGAAAGAGATCTGGGAGGCAAAAGGAAAGATAAGGACAACATACCTGAGCAGTAGGAGCCCATAAGTTTAATGATATGGAGTCCTCTGAGAAAACAGCACCTAGAGGACCATCATATGAATATAACTCATCGATAACGCCAGGTAGTTGCAAACCAGTAGCATTTCTGAAAGCCCCATCACCTGTACAAGTATAAATAAAGCATTGTCAGTAACCAGGAATGAACCCAGCATGCTTTTCACGATCAAGGTTTTTACCGGAGACATCAGATGCACCAGGAAATTCATCAAATGGCCAGTGAAGAACAAAGATTGCAAATATGCAAGAATGATTATATTTAGAATAATCGGATGCATCAATCAAATTTTATAATTTTTCTAGTGTTCAACACAAAGGAAATAAATTGCCACTCAAACATTGAGAACATGGAAACTACTCAGGAAAATCCTCATGTCCTTTGTAGCTGTAAAGTGGAGGATAACAAGGCAACTATAAGAATTAATTTATCTTTCTGCAAATGGCATCAGTTTGAATAATTTTTTTTTAAATTGGCCGAGGTCAAAACTTAAAAGCTTACCACTGAAAGCAGCAACTGCTAGTTGACACTTCAGCAGACTTTCAACATCCAGGGTGGCAGGAGCTCTGAAGGCTGAGTAACCTCTAATATGAGGAAATTTTTCAGTAACCTAATAAATGTAGATAGATTAGATCAAAGCAATAAAGAAAGAGAGTATTCAAGCACTGGTTTAAAAAGTACTAATTTTGCAAAAGTACAACTAGTATGAACTAAAAGCATGAGTTCATATCACCATCCTTGCAACTTTGCAAGTGGTATTCATACTTTCAAGGAGACTTAACACGAACACGTGGAGTTATGAACATACATATGTATTATTAGACAGGTATAAAGAACAAAGAGAGGGGAGGTTTGAAAAATTATAAATCCTATTTGCTAGATAATACAGGAAAATTATAAGGACAGTGCATATTATCGCAATTTATTAAGCATCTTACATGTGTTGGTAATCCCCCATTGTCCTTGTCAAGCTTTATCTTCACATCATAGCCTGTCAACTCATATAAGAGCCAAGTTAGAGTAGAGTCTATTTTCCATTGTATATGAATGTACATATATCAGAGAAGTATGACATAATACCAGACCTTCTATCCCATCATTCGTAACCCTTAGTGCAGCAGTTTTACTTGCAAACAAGTAGTATGAACCATTTCCAACATCAACATTCCAGGCAAGGATATACTTGCTCGGCCAATATGCTCTAGAGCTATTTAAAGTCCCTTGCAATTCAATCTGCAATAATCAAGTTTTCACTAGTTATCAACACATTTGTAAGGTGATGAATCAAAGCGTAGCTGTAGGAAACTGAACCTAAGTCACTACCATACTATTTGTATAGCATAATACTAAAACAACGATTAAAACTAAATCTAACACATTAGGCTGGTTCGGCTAGCTCCATAGACTAATTGCCTCATGATTCCACCAAAAAAACACATGTTATATACTTGTCTAAAGATATTATAAGGAGTCAAAATTCTCTCAATATAGATAGTAGATAAATCCCAAGTATACTTCATCAAGGAACCTTAAATTATTCACCCAACCTTCACTAAAATTAGTGCTCTTACCATCCAAAATAAAAAATTATCTCCTGCATTAGTGTGACCTCTAAGGAAAAGAATTCATAATGGTTGATACCAAAAGTAAAATTAATCAAAAATGTAAAGGTATATGATGAAAGTGGAGATTTCCTAGGTAATACAGTAGTACACTCCAATACTCCATAATCCTACTCCAGCCTCCCATTCACCTAGTTTCAATTTCGCACTTAGCCAATCTGTAGAGGTTTAGATGTATACAACCTCACCCCTAACTAGTCGAGGATAACACAAATCATGATACATTAACCTGACCCTAAGGGTTAACTACCTTCACGCTATGATTAGCCACTCTCATGTTAAAATTATAAATTCTTTTTAAAACGACATTCTTGGTCTTTCTCTTTCTCACAATGGTCGGTAACTCTCAGTGTCAACCAAACATTTCTGTTCCAAACTTCCAAGTAGAAGAACACACATCACAAATCACAGTAATATTTAAGTCACTTAGTTACTCCAATATATCCAAATATTCATCAATTTCAAACTCATATAATCCATACATATTCATATCCATATAAGTAATTAAAACAGAATATACACTGAAATAAACAACATAAAATACAGAAACTAACTCATTAGCATAATCAATTCCATAAATTTGATCAAAATTTCTAAAAATTAATAAAAATAACAATAAATTTATACCTGAGAAACAGAATCAACTTCAACAGCCATAGAGCAACAAAAGCAAGAAAAACCTTTCTTTGATGAAGAATGGAAGATTCCAGAATTAGACCCAATGAAAATGGAATCTGAAAAGGATGGTAATTTCTTATTCAAACGAAAATTAAAGGGTACTAATCGAAGATTATGGTTATGAAGATTAGAAGAAAGAGCAAAGGGGTTATATAGTGAAGACATTTGAGGATGAAGCTTTTGGTTATGGCGGTCGAAGCAGAAAATTCAGTTGAGCAGGCGAAGAATGATGGTGTAAAGTGGGAAAACTGCGTAGATTTTGATGAAGAATTGGGATTTTCATGGTAAGTCTGTTAAGATTTGTCATTTGGGGCAAATTGTTTCGTCTTTCTCTGCAAATATCTCCATGCTATCTTTGTCATTCGTGTTATTTTCTGTGATAATGAGTCTAAAAGAGTGATGAGTGATGCTGAAATGCTGATTCTTTGAAAAAGTTTCTTGTTTGAGTTCAGGGCTCATGGGGTTACGGTTAAAGCGCGCGGCATGGGTTGAGCTAACATAAGGGTCGGTCAGGTACGACCCCGCCATAACATTAGAGGTACGTGACATCGGTGGTTCAAGGGGTATTGTACAACAATGAGTCGCCTTGCTTTATTTTCACCAATTTACAAAATAAGGAGTCAGTTAGCATGACGTGTAATCCAAGTTGTACACCTGTACATGAGCTCTGTTTATGAAGATTAGCATGACTCCAACACGGTTTTTCTTGGTATAAATCAAGCACGATGCGCTTAGCTTAGCATGACATATTGATTAGCACGTACAACCTGACCCTATAAGGTTATGATGATAACAAGCCAAATATCAAATAAGACCCTGTTATCTTCACTTTAATTTTTGTTGAACTGAAATTATTTTTACTGAATTGAAAATATTTTTGTTAAACTTAAATTACTTTTATTGAATTGAAATTATTTTTACTGATTAAAACTTATTATTACCGATTAAATATTATATTTACTGAATACTACGTTTACTGAACCTAACTTATTAATTATTTAACTATAAAGTACCAGTATTATTTTAAGGTGAAGAGAACATGACCTAAATCCCTTAAGTGACTCGGTTAGAGCTAAGGAAAAGCTTGAAGCACAACAAGCTTAAGCTAGCGGAACTAGAGCAAGCAAGTAAGATGGAAGATCAGTTCCTATAAGATGGTCTCCAATGAGGAACTTTAATTTCATGTGGTCCTTGACAGGAGCATAAGGCAACTCCTTAATAGGAGAATGACAACAAGTTAAAGTTAAGAACTTGATCTATGTGTTTCAAAGAGGAACAAAGTTGGCGGGTAGCAGACAAGTCTCAATAGCAGTCTTCCTGATCCGCAGTTCCATAAATGGAACATTACTCCGAATTCAAGTAAGCAACGAACGAGTACAAGAGTTTATGTGAAGATGTTTTAGAAGCTTTACATGAAGATCAAACTAGAATTAAGTTGTAACTTTAGGATTTGTGTATATATAAGTTAGACCTTATTAGAAACGTGATGAAGCTTGACTTAAGAAATAAAATTGGAAGGAATAGAGAGATAAAGTTTATTTATGGTTTTGTAAGAGATAATTATGCTTTTTAATTGAGTTAAAATTTGGTTGGAAATTTTTTTTTTTTTTTTTTTTTACATTACAGTTTTGAAATCCTTTTACTCGATTTTAAGCAAAAAGAAATATGTTCTTAAATTGATTTGATCATTATCTTTTCTATACTTATCTTTCTGTTTTTAACCTTGCTTAGCTGCTTGTGCTTTCTGTATAAATAGAAAATCAAGTAGACTAAAGTGTGAGTTTATATCCTAGAGAGCACATTCGACAAAGTAGTCAAGTTTTGCCATTTTAGTTTCGGGTTTCATGTGTTGTTTTCCATACTTTTTCCTACTTGTATTGGAGTTATTCATTTCGTTGTATTTGGTTTTTGGGGTGTGAGGATTCGAGAAAATTCTTTTATGTAATAAAAAAATTGCAGAGTAGGCTTTTAGTGTGAGGCTGAGTGTGAGGTTTTTAGTGTGAGGCTGAGTGAGTAGCAGTTTGGGAGTGTTGTTGGAGATTTGAATCAGAGATTCAGATTGGGCAAGTTAAGAGTAGTGCTTGTTGAGTTCCGATTCCGGTTAGGAACTATGGGTCAAGTTTTGTTTAGGAACTTGTGGAAAATTGGATAACATTCAATTGTAATACGTTTTAACTAAGAGTTTTGGCCTATTACACTGAAAATGTATTTTTTAGGAAAATCTATGGGTCAAGGTTTTTTTTACTTATAGTTAGGCCTTAAAGGTTTCCTCGTAAAAATATGTTGTCTACTTCTCTTTAAGTTCCTTTCAAAAAAAAAAAAAAAAAGAAAAAAAGAAAAGGCTTTTGTTTTTATTTCGCAAAACTTGGTCACTGAAGAACTCACTACAATACCCATTTTATAATAGTTCATCTCAAATATCAGACATTTGGGCAAACCCTCATATTTTCTGACACAACTATAAGAACATTGGTGTCATGGAAGGAAAGGGAGTGGAGGAAGAACTTAGCTGCTTGCATCTTTCTTTCACTAAATAGGTTCATTCAATTCAAAGTGTTTATTAGGACAAAAGAAAAGGTGATGAAGGGGGGGGGGGGGGAGGGGTGGGGGGGAGAATGAAATTGGCTTGCATCTCTCTCTTAATTGGTTTTTCCATAATTAGTGAGTAATCAGCTTGAAAATATGTTTGGATATAGGTATCATCAAATAGTATGGCCTCATTATTGGTCTTGAGTAGCCAAAACGGGTTATAATGAACCTCGTCTCACTAAATAGGTTTTACGTGAACTTAGGTTGTCCCAATTACTCTCGAGGGATTTTATCTTTACAGGCTCAAATAGAGCTATCAGAACTCACATTTTTCAATTCAATTATCCAACCAGTAATACCTAAATTGAATACCGAACTTTATCTGTAATCATTTGATCTGATTTTGACCCAACCCAACCCATACCAAACCAATAACCTATTGTTCTAATATTGATATTATATTAAAATAATTAAACATAATGGCAATAGAATAAAAAATGAGCCAATATGAACTTGAAATCAACCCTTAAGAGTCTTAGCATAAATAATTGACGACCCGACTCGAATTGATATGATTCAAACTCAATGCAAACGACTCATGGGAACAAACTTACAAAGGGAGGAGGCTTGGGCAATGGCGAGTGTATGTATTAGGGGTTTAGGGCCTTTAGGGAAGACACTAATATGTAATTTTAAAATTTACATTAACAACCTTTATTTTTAACATAACTAATTCCCTACGGCAAATAAGACGTGAAGCTAAGTATGCTTATTGGTGTGGATGGTAGTTAATTTTTGTGGTGGGCACTAATAATTAGGTTTGGTCTTAACATTGATGATTGCAAAATTCTGATTTTTTTTAACTATAATGCAATTCATATTGTTACGTAAAACTTAATAATCTCAATAATGTGGCCCATCATTTTTATCATTATTTATTTTATGTGACCAAGGTCAAGTATTGGGGGGATATGTGATTGTCCATTATTATTGTATTATTTGAATATCTATGCTTAGAGATTGATGCAATTTATAAAAAATTACATGCTTATGCTTTGGTTCTATCTAAATTAAATCACACGCCAAATTCATAAGCAAAGCAAAGCAACTAGCTTGTGTAAATTCTAAGAAATAAAAAGCTATTCAAAATGAATGATGAAGCATAAAATCTTCTCTAAAAGAATTCATAAACCAAATGATTTCATGCACATTCTAACAAAGAATAAATATAGTTATGGAGAAAATGTCTTCATATCATCAAATAGTTTGTTGCCAACAAAAAAAAGGTCAAAACACATTATTATGGTCATGTCAAATCCCTTTGCCCTTATATATACTCCAACTCTTTAAGCAATGAGTAATCCATGAGTTGTAGTTTTTGGTTGATCGACAACAAGAACAACAATGGAACACTTCTTGTTTCGGTTGTTCATGCAATCTCTCTTGCTCTCCTCAGTGTTGTTATGTGCTAGTGCTACTAACATTACTCGTGACCGAAACGTTGTGGGTGACTCTCTTGTAAGCAAAAGAGATCTAATTAGATTGACTAGGCAGATTGAGGCTATCTACCAATTTGGTGACTCCCTTTCCGACACTGGCAACTACATCCGAGAGGTCAATGGGGAAGAGTCCACCTATAGTAGGCTTCCTTATGGCCAAAGCTACCACCCAACGGGTCGTGCCTCCGATGGCCTTATCATGGTGGACTACATTGGTATGTATCATGAACTTAGATATATACTTCGTATGTGCTATACATGTTTAATGTCTGATAATTTACTTTCTTTGCTCTTTTAATGCTTGATTTTAGTTCAGACAGTTTTTGACGACTTTATTAAAAAACATTAAAAATAATGTTATCCACTTAAAAGTAATAACTTACCTTAGATATCAATAATTCATTCTTCTTTAATTTCCTTTATTCTCCTTTAATTTGGTACATAGTCAAGTAAGTCAACGGGTTTGATTAAACCACAATGAAGTAAGATAATGATGTCCAACTTACCATTACTAGAAATAACATGCATGATTTAGATTTATGACAACTTTCTCTATAAGGTACACTTTTAATGTCTCATAATAAGTTATACTCAGTTATGTATTATGTGTGTTTTTGTGTCGTGTTTTTTTTTTGTGGGTGACTAATAATTATATGGAATTGTGCAAGATAGCAATGTTCTTCCATCTACCACTGCTAAACCCATATCTTGCCAAAGGAAGCGACTTTAGACATGGGGCCAATTTTGCCGTAATAGGTGCTACTGCTAATGGCAAATACAATTCTTTGGGTAGACAGCTTGATTGGTTTAAATATCACCTCAGGACTACTTATCATAATTCAATAGGTACATTCTTATTTAATGCTACATTAATTCGTTGATTTTTTCGGTTAAATTTCCAAAACTTTGGATAACTCTATTAATTTATCATTCATTCCCTTAATTTCATGTACATGATGATTTGCATGATTGCAGCAATAAAAAGAAAACTACAAAAGTCATTGGTGCTAATGGGAGAGATTGGAGGTAATGACTTCAATGGTCCTTTTAACCAAGGCAAATCAATAAAGGAGGTAGCTAAGCTTGTCCCCGGAGTTGTGCAAACCATAAAAAATGCCATCGAGGTGAGTTGAAACATGAATTGACTAATTAAATAGGCAAAATAACTACGGAGTATTGATTTCGGAGTTCAATTAGTTTCGATAACTTGATCTAGACTAGTCACATCAATTCAGTTCAGGTTATATTGAGTTTATACTTTACTTTTAAAAAAAATTATGGAGTACTAGTTTTCAGGTCATATTGTTCAAGTCAATCTTGGTTATGGTCAAACACGGGTAAACTTGTTTTGAGTATAATCCAAGTGTAACGTAATTTAGTTTGGGTTGGATGACTAGGTTAGTTTTTAAGAATAATATTATTGCCATTACATAGAGTAGGTGATTCACAATATCTACATTATTTGCATAATTTTCAGGAAGTGATTAAACTTGGGGCTACTAATATTGTGGTGCCTGGGAACTTTCCTATTGGATGTGTGCCTCTTTATCTTGCTAAATTTGCCACAAATGATACCTCAAAGTATGATAAACTTTGGTGCTTGAAAGACTACAATAACTTCGCAAAGTTCTACAATATAAAGTTGATACGAGCCATCAAGCAATTGCAACAAAAGCACCCAGATGTGGCAATCGTATATGGAGACTACTATTCTGCATTGATATGGGTCATTGCTAATGCTCAACAATTAGGTAATGTTCAAATCTTTAGTTGATTGGAATACGTTACACGAGCACAAGCTTTATTACAGTTTAACAGCATACACGGGTAAATGGGATTCCATCTTAAATCAAGTGAAATAAAAATTTAAGTCGCCTCTAATAGTCACGAATTCATTCCTTATTAATTGAAACTAGACTTAGTGAATCTTCTTCTTTAATTCTAAATTGACAATTAAGTCCAACATCCTTCACCTTTCCTTATACTATACGTATGCATGAAATTAATAGGAATTAGGATTTATTATATTGGTACAATCACATGCACAATTCTTCACGCACGGCTTCCGGTACAAAGGTGCGTCGCATTGTGTGCTGTGTGCCGTGTGCGCGGTTGGTGTCGAAGCCAACTACATTGACAAGTAAGATCCCCAAGAGTGAAAATTTTGCATTTATGCACATGATTACACAATGAATTTAACCAATCTCTAAGAAAAAAAGCATTGGTCATATTTATATTTTCAAAGTTGGCCTCTATTAAAGATTGACTTACAAACTCATATGTACTACTCGTATCTTGTTTTCATTTCTGAATACATATTCATACCACCTTGTGCACCAACTGTCAATGATTTCTAACACTCCCCCCTCCCCTCCGCGCAATGATTTGAAACAAAATAACTGTTGTGTATAATACATTTACTCGTAATTTTGTTTGGAACATGTTCTGTAAACATCAATAATTGTAATTTGTACTTTGCATACAGTTAACAAATTGTATATTGTTTTACAGGGATTGAGCAGGATGACACCAAAAAGGCTTGTTGTGGATATGGTTATAACCCTTATAATTTTGGCACAACTGGTTGTGGCAGTCCTGGATCTCCCATTTGTCAAGACCCTAGTAAAAGAATAAGCTGGGATGGAATTCATTTGACTCAACAAGGATACAAAGGAGTTGGGGACCAATTACTAGAACAATTCGTGCCCGTACTTGAAAAACAAATTCGAAGACGATTGAGGAAACCTATTAGGTAAAAACCTAAGAGACAAATCAAATGATCTTAGGTGATGTTAAAACGATTCAGAGAAGACAAAAGGGGTCCATCTTTACTTATTTTATGCTCAACCATCTCTTGGCAACATTTAGTACACTTGGTATATATTGCTACTTGAGAGTTTTACACAATGGTTGAATTCACCTTTATATATATATATGCTGAAATTGATGATATATAAAATTATACTCATATAATATAGTATACAAGTATTTATCTAGCTTGTACAATCACCCTTTGCATCAATTTTGTTATACGAGTATAATTATACATTTTACGAATATAGTAGTCTTTACAATTCGGCTTATTGCTCGTATGAGTCATATCAATTTAATGTATGAACTATAATGAAAAGTATCTTTTTACTTCAATTTTATGACTCCCTATCCATATTATTCCATTCGCAAGTCTTTATTATTTGTTACATTCGTTTTTGGCGTCATTATTAAGAAATAAAATTAAGGAGAAATTTTAATTTTGAGATGATGATTGATGAGTTTTGGAGTCCAACATCAAATGAACAATAAGACAAATTCCGTATTAATTAGGTAGGTGTATTAAAATAGGGAAGGTACAATATTATGAGCCTTAAAATTTCCGCCCTCCCTCCCTAACTTAGGCCTTGTTCACTTCATCTTATTTTTGCTGAACTGAAAATATTTTTACTGAATTGGAATTATTTTTGCTGAAGTCAAATTATTTTTACTGAACTGAAATTAATTTTACTGAATTGGAATTATTTTTGCTGAACTAAAATTATTTTTACTGATTTTCTATTATATTTTTTCTTAATAGTTACTGAATTTTATTGAACTGAACTTATTTTTACTGAACTGAAATTATTTTTACTAAATTGAACTTATTTTTATTTTTGTAAGGTGAAGTGAACATGGTCTAATATTTTCTTACATTTCTTTTACCTTATTTACCAAATAATAAGGAAATGTAGCAAATAGAAATACACATCCAAATAAAGCATAGGAACAAGTAATGAAAGACGGAGGGAAACTATTTGTAAAGGTACAGAAAACATGATTCAGTTATTTATTATTGTAAGAGCATGATCGATGAAATTATCAAATTTGGGTATCTTAAAACATTGTTGAATTTCATGTTATGCATAGGTGATCTGAATTAGTTGTTACACATTAGAATTATGAGAGAAAGTAACACTTTATAAATTTGAGAAACCACTCTATTATTCTGTTAGAACTTTCTCATTTGTGTGTGTAGGGAAAAAAAGTTCCACATTCCAAATGGGATAAATTGGTTTGACAAGCATTAAACTCATTTCCTTATTGACAAATGGTTATAGGATGAAATCTCACTTGTCTATAGTGCAGATCACTTTTTACGCTATCACTGGTCATGACACAAGGTCCAACACATCCCATCATCAATTGGTTTTCAGATACATCATGTGAGCTTGTAAGTGTTCCAAATTCTTATACTTTTCGGGTAGCACATACCTAATTTTGTTAATCTTAAATTCTTAATACAATGTATAATTTTAACTTATTACTCCCTTTGTTTCTAATTTTTTGCCTTATTTGCATTTTCAGTCTCCATAATACACCTTAAAACATAATTTAAATTTCTCCAAATTATTAAAAGTTGATATTTTTATACTAGAAAATGTAACGAATGTAGCTAGATTCCACTTGACTATATTATTATTTCTTATAGATTAATGAGGATTCATAGTGGTCAAAGTTTTCAAATGTTGACCGCAAAAAACGTAATGGAGTTCAAATATTGCTTTTACGTATCTGTACTATTAGATTTTACTAGTTTCAACGTAAATGTATTATTATCATGCATATTTTTTTTGGTATTTAGAGAGGCACAAGGGCGGGTGGTGAGAATCGATCTCAGGATCTCCTGAAATTTAGAGGGAAGCTCTAACCACTTGAGATATCTCTCACTCTCTCTTATTATACCATGCATATTTTCTATTAGTCAAGCAAATTATTAGCAAATATTATACCAAATAAAGCAGCATTCAGATTGGATTGATATGTGAGGGGTGGTGGTTCAGATCAAGATAGTCTTTCTCATAGCCTTTATGAATCTTTGTAATTAACAGCTAAATACAAGTATAATAAATCAAACCACTATATGAGGCTTTTATATTTTTCGGGAGAAGGAAATTAAACTAATTAAAGCGATTAAGGAAGCTAATCATATCATATCATACAAAATAAAAGGCAATAATGGAGAGATTGCCCTATAATATGAGGCTTTTTTTCCTATTATGAGGAAATATTATATGGCAATCTCTCCAATCCATAGAAATATAGAAAAATCGTATCATTATCATATAATTGTGCACGGAATCTATCCAAATAAAATCACAAAAACAAGCTGATATGATATGATTCCATGCACATTTTAATTTAGTAAGAAAATATATGGAGAAATTGCCATATAACACTCCTCAGATTATGATAATAAATTGACAAAATTGCAAATATTACCTGTAATTTCCTAAACAGAAGATTTTGATTATGCTTTTTACCTAAATAATACTGTTTTGGCCCTTATAAAAACAGTCACATGCAAATTGTTAATCAACAAAATTAATTAACAACAAAATTAACAATGAAGCAAGTATTATTTTACGTGTTGGTGCAATTTCTTTTGTTCTCCTCAATAATACTTGTATGTGCTTGTGCTACTACTATAACTCCCAATGATTTGGGAGCCTCCCTTAGAACCAAAAGAGTGCCGCTAACTTCTTTGGCTAAGCAGTTTGATGCCATCTACCAATTTGGTGACTCTCTTTCCGACACCGGCAACTATGTTCTAGAGCCCAACAGCAACACCGTCTACAACAGGCTCCCTTATGGTCAAACCACACAACCAACGGGTCGTGCCTCCGACGGCCTTATCATGGTGGATTACATTGGTATGCTTCATTAACTTACCTACATATACGTATGTGAATACGTTGTGTATAGTGTATCCTCAAATTTATTTGTTGTTTATTTTATATACTATCTCCGTTTCTTATTAGTTGCAATAAAAGAATTTTTATAAGTATATGTCTCATCACAACTAATACTCAGCCCCTTTGTTGCAAATAATGAGAAACGTGATTTATATATATATATATATATATATTATACCGTCCCAAACTAAAATATTACAAACTATAAAACTTGTTACCCTATTAGAGCATAATTTTATATTAGAATATGTTAGGGCGAGACCATCTCACCCAATACTTGCGCTTTTTTAACTTGGTAATTTTGATCGACTACCTAATTATTTCAATGTATTCGTGATATAGCATCATACTTCAATCTACCACAACTGAACCCATATCTAGCCACCGGAAGCGACTTCACCCACGGAGCCAATTTCGCGATAATAGGCGCTACTGCTAATGGTGGACTCAACGTCAATTCCTTAGCTAAGGAGCTTGATTGGTTTAAAACTCACCTCAACTCTACTTACTCTAATCCGGCAGGTACATACTTTATATACATTGCACTCCTTTTTTTTTTTTAACATGAACAAGTTTGGAATATTTTTTTCAAGAAAATGATCGGTACGTAAAAATAATTAACATATCTCCAGATTATAAAATTAATCTAAAAGATCGCCTAAGATTTTCATTATTTAATTAAGTCTTTTTGATCCGATTCCTTAATAAAAACATAATTTTGGCGTAAAAATATTTCATAATATATTTTGTAAAGTGTGTAGTAATTAATAAATGATTGGTACGTACTAAATAATATTTTGTTGGGTTAAATTACGAGTACTAATTTTGGATAACTATTTTAAAAATAAATTATCAAAGCACACATTTAATTAACATGCCTTCCTGTCCTCTAAAATTGTACGTACGTATTTGCATGATAACAGAAATCAAAGAAAAACTTCAAAAGTCGTTGGTGCTATGGGAGAAATCGGAGGCAATGTGTTAGAATCCAACTTCTTTTGATGTATTAGATTCCATTTAAGTGCTTTCCTAGAGTTTAGGTTATGTTTTCTTAGCTTAAGGTCCCATTATTGTGTTACTGTCAGATCAGTGTTCACTAGGGATTCTCCTTGTATGTCATTTAAAGCTCTTTAGAGGGCGAATGATTAATGAAATCTTAAAGCCTTCTACCAAGTGTTGCCTTGCTTTTATGCTTGTTTGTGTTAGACCTTTATAGATATTGTCTCTTACTTGCATATTAGCTCCCCTCCAACTCAACTTGATGCGCTAAGGACTCGTGGTTCGGACCCGCTTGTGCCCGCTTTGAAGTATCGGCCGTCACAAGCCCCGACCACCCGCACTCCGTCGCCCAGATAGACGTGAGTGCTCCTGAGATTCTATTGCCCGCTTGTGTTGCTTTGTGCTCACAAGCCCCTCTTCCGCTCAAGGCTAGCGTTCTTGCCGCTAAAAGGCTAGAGCGCGCCGCACGTTTCGGGGTCCAAACTCCCGGACCGTGACAGTTGGTATCAGAGCCGAGGCTCAAACCTCGTCGCAAGCAACCCGTGTAGGCACCAAGGAGGGCTACACGAAGATGGAATTCGTAGAAGAAAGGTTCGCTTGGCTCGAGGAGAAGGCGGACAAATGGGCCGAGCTCCAAGTCATTGTACACGAGCAAGCCGAGCAAATTGTGAAATTGATGGCTGACAGAGATGCCCTCCGCGAACAATTGCAATTTGTTCAAGGAATAGCCGACGAAGCACTTGAGAAATGTGCTACCTTAACGCGCGTTGTGGGCAGAGACGCACTGGGTGTTGGTGCGGCAAAGATAAAGCCGCCCAAACCTCGCGACTACAGTGGCGCTAGAGATGCGAAAGAAGTTGATAACTTCCTCTTCGACATGGAGCAGTACTTCCGAATATGTCAACTAAGTGACGATCAGAAGGTGGATACTGCCATCATGTACTTGTCCGAAGATGCTAAGCTGTGGTGGCGCACCAAGCACGCAGACATCGAAGCAGGAAGGATCAAGATTGATACATGGGCGGAGTTCAAAGAGGAACTCAAAGAACAATTCTACCCCGTCAACACAGCGTTTGTTGCACGGATGAAGTTGCAAGAGTGCCGCCAGAAGGGTTCTCTTCGCAACTATGTTAAGGAATACTCGGCGATAATGTTGGACATCACAGACATGAATGAGAAAGATCGTGTGTTCAACTTTGTCAACGGGCTAAAGGAATGGGCACAGCGAGAGATTTTGAGGCAGAATATTGATACCCTCGCTGCTGCTATGTGTGCTGCTGAGAGATTGATGGACTACTCAGTCGAGAAGGGTCGTCAATCCGAGAAGGATTCAAGTGGGACGTCAACACGCTCTAACAGTCCGTCTCCAAGCTCTCCAAAGGGTACAGAGAACGGCTCACGAGTATCGTCCAACACCATTAATACATATCATAGAAGAAGTGGAGGAGGTGATGCCCAGAGACAAACATCTACCCCCTCCCACAACTCAGGAAACTCGAGGGTCGGCGCATCCTCGGCAAACACAAGGGCAATAAACTGCATACTTTGTCGAGGTCCACACAAATGGTGGGATTGCGAGCATAAAGAAGAACTTGACAAGATCCAAAAGAGATTGTCATCCATGTCCGTTCAGGAGGCCACAAAAGAGACTAGCAGCGATGAGGAGCCCACATATAGGATGGGTTCCATACGACGCCTGAGTGCTATGAGAATGATAGCACCTCAAGAAGAACCAGAAGTTCGATATCTTTTGGCAATGCGAGTGATGGAGCCTGAGAAGAAGGCAACATCGAAGAAACAAGCTCGCACCAGAAACTTAGAGAAGCGGGAGATGAAGCCCATGGAGTTGGAAACATCCCAGATACACACCCGCCAAAACCAAAATCAGTCACAAGGTTTGAAGCAAAGAGCGACGAGCCCAGAGACACCAAAGAGACACCAAAGAAGAACCTCCCAAGAGGGAGGAAAAACAGTGGTTGAGCAAACAACGCAGGGCGCGTGCAAGGGATTACAAAGAAAATGGTCACCCAAGAGGCACCAGCCACAACTTGAAGCTCTCCACCACAGTCTCAAGGAAGCAGCTCCCCAACAGATGATGGTGGAAGCAGTTGTCCCCCTTAATTCAACAGATTCCACTCCCAGGAGGAAATTTAGAGATGAAACTCTCAACAAGATGTTCGAGCCGAGCGACTCTAGAGACAAGCTCCTTCTCAACAAAGAAGATCCAGCTCAAGAGTCAGATAAGATTCCAGAAGATAGCCGCACCAACGGCGCATCCGAAACTTGAGATAGTCTAGGGTTTTCTAATTTTGATTGTAACTTTTGTAAGTCGACGAGGTCGTCGACAGCTTAAGTGGGGGAGGATGTTAGAATCCAACTCCTTTTGATGTATTAGATTCCATTTAAGTGCTTTCCTAGAGTTTAGGTTATGTTTTCTTAGCTTAAGGTCCCATTATTGTGTTACTGTCAGATCAGTGTTCACTAGGGATTCTCCTTGTATGTCATTTAAAGCTCTTTAGAGGGCGAATGATTAATGAAATCTTAAAGCCTTCTACCAAGTGTTGCCTTGCTTTTATGCTTGTTTGTTGTTAGACCTTTATAGATATTGTGTCTTACTTGCATATTAGCTCCCCTCCAACCCAACTTGATGCGCTAAGGACTCGTGGTTCGGACCCGCTTGTGCCCGCTTTGAAGTATCGGCCGTCACAAGCCCCGACCACCCGCACTCCGTCGCCCAGATAGACGTAAGTGCTCCTGAGATTCTATTACCCGCTTGTGTTGCTTTGTGCTCACAAGCCCCTCTTCCGCTCAAGGCTAGCGTTCTTGCTGCCAAAAGGCTAGAGCGCGCCGCACGTTTCGGGGTCCAAACTCCCGGACCGTGACACAATGACTTCAATGGTCCTTTTTCTCAAGGAAAAACGATCGAAGAAGTATATAAGCTTGTTCCAGGAGTTATAAAGACCATCCACGATGCAGTCGAGGTAAGTTGAATCTACAAGTGACTTAGAATATATTTGGATCGAGTTCAGTTTGGATCAATTTGGTCTAGGTCATGTTCGGACAATGTTGGTCAATATATTTCATTACAACCATATACATAATTGTGTCTATTGATAATAAAATCAATATTAGTCATATATTAATTTTCGGGCATGTTATATATGTTCATGTCAAGTCAATTTCATTTATGATCAAATTCCAATAGCTCAGGTTTAATTAGGTCATATAATTTAGAGCTCTTTTGTTGCCATTGCATAAACAAAAATTACGTGGTGCAAATTAATATCACGTATTAAATGTAACTATGTTCTTAATTCTTTGCTTGATTATTATGTATTTCAGGAAGTGATAAGCTTAGGGGCTACTAATATTGTGGTACCTGGGAACTTTCCAATCGGATGTGTGCCTCTTTACCTTGTTAAATTTGAGACGAATGATACCTCAAAGTATGATGAGCTTCATTGCCTAATTGACTACAATAACTTCGCAAAGTCCTACAATCAGCAATTACTACAAGCCATCAATCAATTGCAAAACGAGCACCCGGATGTAGCCATCGTCTATGGAGACTACTATTCTGCCTTGACTTCGGTCATTAGCAATGCTCGACAATTAGGTAATGTTTGAATCTTACTAAAAATTATCACACTGTATTCCATTTTTAACTAATGTTTTTAGCCTTATCATTTATTGTACTTAGTAATTCACTTATCATTTACTTAACTGGTCTTTTGTGGCCGATATTTGGTTAAAGTACATACAGAAAAAAAGTTTAGGTTTAATTTCTTGTCGTTGTTTGGTTGTGAAGTATGTTAACGAATATGTATATTATATAGGGTTCGAGGAAGGTGGCACTGAAAAGGCTTGTTGTGGAACCGGTAATAATCCTTACAACTTCGGTGATAAAAGTTGTGGCAGTCCTGGAGCTCTAGTTTGTCCGAACCCTAGTAAAAGAGTAAGTTGGGATGGAGTTCATATGACTCAAGAAGGAAACAAAAATGTTGGACAACAATTGATTAAGCAGTTTGTATCTGCACTTCAAAAACATATTCGAAGACGTCGTAGTAGACAGTGATTTATACAAATTACATTAAAGATTGCCAAAATAAAGGATACACCTCTTATGTATGTTCAACCATAATTATTTAGTGCATTTCTTAATTTGCTACTACATAGACTTTAATTTGCTTAATTAATTTTGTGAGCACACAATACAAGTATGTTTTTCTTGTTCACCAATTTAATCAGATTAACACCTTCAATTCTTTTTGTATGCTTTTATATTGTGAAAAAACTTGGATCTTACCCACTACTTAAATCGTTCCCTTGTTAATTGTTATATATACTTCTTTCGTTTCTTTTTAGTTGCATCACTTTTCTAAAACGGATGTTTCAAATAGTTGCACCACTTTCCTTTTTAACTAATAAATTCTCTATATTTCTCTCGTACCACATGTGCCTTTTTTTTTTTTTTGTCTAACTCTCTTCACTCAAAAATTTACCTAGAGTCCGTAAAAATTAAAATGATGCAACTAAAAAAAACTGAGGAAGTATATACCTTCTTTTTGTTTAATTCTAGCAAAATTAGTTCATATAAATTCTTATATGAAGTAAATTAACATATGGTCAACAAAAATAAGGCCAACAAAGGAAGATAAAGGCTACCAAATTATGAAAGTCATAACTTCCAAACTTTTGTCTTCGTAAAAGCGAAGAATAAAGAATGACTTTAAGTTGACTATTGCAAACATCCAATTTGGTTTTGGATCTTCATAAGTGAAAAATTATTCATGCTTTATCAAGAACAATAATTTTTCTTTATCACTATAACTTTGATTAATTCTTTTTATCACATAAATAGCGTAAGATTTTTTTCAACGAGGTGTAATTAACTACATTCTCCATTTTTTTAGTTGCATCACTTTATAAATTGCGGATTCTTAGAAAATTTTTGAAAATGAGAGAGATAGAGAGAGTTTATTAATTAACTAAAAAGGAAAGTGATGCAACTAATTTAAAACTTCATTTTAGAAAAGTGATACAACTAAAAAGAAATAGAGGAAATGATTATATTAAACACTAACGCTAAAACTTGTGTTAGACTAACAGATTATCATAAAAATAATAACATTATATTATGAATAAAATGCACCATCACCCCAAAAAAAAATTGAAATAAAATTCGGATAATAATAGTAATAATAATATAATAATAGCATCAGGATTATAAATATAAATATAAATATAAAATACATTGCCTACAAAAAAAATAAAAAAAAAGTTGTCCTGCCCTACCCCATATGGTTACGAAATTGAAGACCAAAACATGCTACTTTAAAAGTTGATGCTGAAAAGATGGACCGTGATTCTAAATACAAATGCCTAGTTGATGAACACATCATGAAGCCCACCTTTGTTATAGGCGCAACACACGCATGTGTACCAAGGCCCAACGGAAGCAGCATCAATTATACAATACTGTGTATACATTGCCTCTATCCCTAAAAGATTACCCTGAATTCTTAACTTTACTTTTATAAGAAACAAAGCGAACTGTGTATAATGTATATACTTTGCTGAAATGATGTTTTTATTTTATTCAATTGTCATGTATTTATTAGATATAAATTTCTTTGTAAATCTCGTATGACTTTTTATTTATAAATCAATCTTAATTCAAAAAAAAAAAGGAAGCTAGTTAGAGAACATAGATTGACACAATTATTGATAAGGATAGAAGAGCAGGTGGGATTGCGGGGAAATTTACCAAAAGTGTATAGGATAATCTTTTAAGCATTAGCTTTTATTATATGAAGCAATCTTTAAGGTATGGAGGGAGTAATAAATATGTGACAAAAACTAATTAATTAGAATCAATTTCTTAAATCATCTTATATTATCGTCATAGTATTAGATTAGAGAGTAACTTAGACTAGTTTATAGAAAGCCAAATTCAAGTACATCCAAATTATCCTTTATTTATTCTTTAAGTCACAACCATTGAATTTATACTACAATGTAAATATGCTATAATGCAAAAATATATTTGGATTAGTTAGTGAGCTTGCCCCAGTTTCTCATAGTGAGAATCAAAAAAATTATTTCTTAAATAGTATTTTCATAATAAACCAACAACTTTATCTAATCACCATTAATTATGGAGCCCACATTAATAAAAAAGTTATTTACGAAAATGTCATGTGAGAAACTTGTATTTACCCTTAGGTTGTGTTTGGAAACATGATATTCATTTCAAATGATGAAATTGAATTTCAAATTTTGAAATCTTGATATTCAATTTCAATATTGGGTTTTTGGGAAATATCATAATTTCATTTCCAGAATTTCAAATTCTAACCTATGTTTGGAGATGAGTGAAATTTTGAATTAAGCAAATGAAATTACACTTTTAACTCACTCAAATTTCCTTTCTCTCTCCTCCTCAATCTTCAATTCCCAAATTTTCATCTCTTCCTCTGCTCAATCTTAAATTCCCAAAGTTTCATCCTCTTCCCCAATTTTTTCTTTCTCCTCCTTAATCTTAAATCCCCAAATTTGCTTTGCTTGCTACAATGTTGGTATCAAGTTGCAATGTTGGTTCAATGGAGGAGAGAGAAAGTTCGCATGCCGCTTCAATGGAGAATTCGAAGAGCTGTTGCAAATTTCAGAAATTGGTCGATCAAATTTTAGAAAATGGTCGATCAAATTTCAGCCATTTTAAATAGGGTACACTCTAATGGTCAAGCAAGAAATTCGAAGGTTGCTTCAATAGAGGAGGGGCGAGAGAACTTGTGTATGCTTCAATGGTGAAGAACCCTAGGAGAGAGAAAAAATTGGGGATGAGGATGATGAAACTTGTGTACGACATAAGAGAGAAAGAGAGTTGGGTTTTTTTGATGAATATTAGAATTTGAAATGACAGGTTTAGGATTGGAATTTCAATATATCAAAAAATACTCATTTCTTTATAATCTTGGATTTGGGCCAATTTCAATTCCCAAATTCTAAGCATATCTAAACAACATAATTGGGCCAAATCCAGAATTTCAAATGAAATTCTAGACAGGCCATTAGTTTCATTCAAATTCTTACAAGAATAAGTTTTATTATTAATAGAATATTATATATGTACTTCGTATATTAATAGTCAAAATTGTTAGTAGAGTACTCTATAGCTTGAAACATGCCTAAATTAAACCAAGTCACTTCATAGGCTAGGCATGGAATGAGTATGACCTATATATTTTATCAGACTTAGCTTGGATTAAATACCTTGCCTCTCTTTTTACTCTTAAGCATTGACCTATTTAGTTTGGTTGACTAATTTGTGAGAAATGTTAGCTTATTATGGTCCTTCTTCTTTAAATAAATTTTTACAAAAAAAAAAAAAAAAAAAAAAAAAGAAAAAGAAAAAAAGGATAAAATTTCTTTTACTATTATATGGACGAATATTTTGACTTGGAAATTAATGCTAAAGCCATTCCTTATGCCTTTGTTTTGTGTGGATCCTAATCAGATTCTGTTCCCACAAATTTGCTTCAATAGTACATTTTGTTTTAGACTTTGCCTTTTTTGACCTTTGAAGACAAAACAAGTGTGACTTTAGCTTAAAATTATCGAACAAAATAAATACCAGTATAAAAAATACAATATAATTAAAATAATAAATAATATAAATAAATCAAAGAAGAAAAGAAAAAGGGTAGGTGTAAGTTTGGTTGCCCAAGAATGCATGCAGTAATTTGCGGAAGTGATGGTACACCATAAAATCCATTAATCATTATACTATATAAGTTTAATAGGTCTAAATCATCATAATTAAGTCATTTAGATAAGTTAATATGAATTAAGTGCTCTTTCCCCAATATTGCTACTACTATATCATATGTACTTATATTTGCCTGTTATTGGTTTGTTAGAGCCAATGAAACGGTGACACATAAAAATGTGTTAGTTTATGTTTATGATGATTTCGTTTAGTGGAAGAAAAAACTGCCCCAAAAAACTAATCATGTCTCCCTCTAAGCTTTAGCTGTACCTAAAAGCATGGAGCTGAGCTTCTTCCATTAACAAAACATTATCTTTGAGTGCTTTGAATTGAATGAATGGCTAGCATTTTAGTTTTAAGTTGTCTAATGTGAATCAAAGACTACCCACTTTCTATTCTATGAATACTAGAATTTACCACATGCGTGCTATTGTGCTAAACTGCTAATGCACGGGATATATCAAACTTGTAAAGGATAATAATGTTGTGGAAGTTATGGGATATTATTTGTTATTTTTAAAAAAAGTAAAGGGAGCGCTAAAAAAATGAAAATTAAGAATTTAATTAGAGCATGACGTTTGTGTGAATAAAACCTGGTTAGTAACGCATCTAAAAATTTTAACATCCTACGATCATGATGGCATATTGACATGTAATTGGAGTTTATTTTAATTTTAATTGGAGTTTATTTTAATTCTTTATGGTATGGTGTTGCCTTCAAGGAACTATGACAATTGGTATGGTACTCGAACCTATATTCCATCAATATTATCTAAAAAAATGATTGAAGCCTAAGTAAGATAGATAAATTGGACATTAGAATTATATAGGGCATGATTTTTATCCGATTTTATTTAAAAATATTAAAATATTTCTCAATCCAGTTTGATTTTGTGACACAAATCAAATCATCTTAAAATGAGTGGATGGAAGGGGTATGGAAGTATGGAACTACTAACTATGATCATGATTGATCATAAATTTGGTTACTTGATAAGAATGATAACCTAGGCACATACCATCATCTATAATAATTTAGCTAGGACCAAGTTTGATAGATGAATTAAATGTATGGGACTTAAATATACGATGTTTACCCTATTTAAGATAAATAACAATTTTTATTAAGCAGATCGATTCAGCTTAATTAAAAAGAGTGTTACACGGGATTCCTCCAATAAATAAAAATGAAAAGTTAAAACTTTAAAACATCATATCAATATGGAATTAATGAAAACAAATCATGACAACTAAGTATAATTATCTAAAACGTTTAAACAACAAAGTGAGCATTTTCTTCTTTAGAAATCGACGTGTACCGTGTGTCGTATGACAATCACAACGAGTTAAAATAAAACTACTGGTTATATAAACACAATCTTAGTAATCCTTGTAATTGGAAAGTGCCAAACTAAAGTTTTATCAAACATCAACTCCATAAAGTGCCATGAATGTTTAGACACTAGACCATTAGCTATGTTAGATCATTCTCAACAATTCAATCAATCTAACATACTCTGTGGCTCTGTGCCAGACAAATATAATTTTGATGTAGCGTAATTCACCAACTTATTGCTTTAAAGACCTAGTGAGTCACAAAACAACTTAGTTTAGTAGTTAGGTTAATATATATGTATATATTAATTCATATAATATGATTTTTATTGGTTTTGTTCAGCTAGCATTTTAGAAGGTACCATTATTATTCCATTAAAAATATGCATGCCCATTCTGTGAATGTATATGTTAAAATTAATCATACGCTAAAAAGAAGTGGAGTAGCATGTGTACATCTTACTATAAAAGTCAACCCACCAAATAACACCTGCCTTCCTACAAAAAAGTCAAAAATAATAATATTAAATATTATAAATTTTTTTAATTTTTGATTTTAATTTTTATTTTTTTTAGCATGCCTTCCCATAATCATGAAAATAAAAAACAATCATTTTTTCTGACCAAAATCATTCCTTTTTTTCCGTTATAAAATCCACTTCTTTCATTTCACTTCTCCCAACTCACTCCAAGTCATAACTAGAATTTATATATTTCCACTTAGACAATAAAAATAACAACAACAATAATAATGAGGCACTTCTCTTTGTATTTGTGCATGCTATATGCATTTATCATTACATGTCAAGGTGTCTTACAAACCTCCCTTAGAAGCAAAGGAGCAACACCCATGACAATGCAATTTGAAGCCATCTACCAATTTGGCGACTCGCTTTCCGATACCGGTAACTTAATCCGGGAGTCTACCGGTGCAAAGACCGCTTTCGCGAGGCTTCCTTATGGACAAACTTACTTCCACCACCCTACCGGCCGTTGTTCCGATGGTCTTCTTATGGTGGATTACTTTGGTATGTTTCATTTACACCCGTACATTTAACACTTTATTCAAATTTCCTCTGTTTTTCTTTTTCATTCCATTGTGATAATATGCATACAACTTATCATATTAGAACATATTGAACTATATTTGTCCTTTATTTCTTTACAAATAAGATAAAGAAAGGGTAGTGATATATTCAAAACTGCTGCTTTTGTTATTTCATTGCATTATACAAAGCACAAATTTGGATTTCTAAGTGTTTCCATTAACTTTTTCCTTGTAAAAAAAACCTAATCTATTCTTTTAAATTAAGTTGAATTTATAAGGAAATGGAGTAAATAGTTTAATAGATTATAATATATATTTTAAGTTTTTTGAACAACCCGTTTCTTAATAAATTGTGTCATTTATATTTATAGCTCTTGATACACAAGAGTAAAGGATAAGAATCGCGATTTTAAAATGATATGGAGTATGATGAGATAGTTAAATTAATGATAAGTACTTTCCTCGTTTTTTTTTCCAAAGTAGAATGTTTTGTGAAAAACATAAAAGTCGAGAAGAATAATAAGAAATCTAAGGAGTAGCTAAGTACCATTAACTAATTAATTAACTAACTATATAATTACCTACAACCAAATATTAGTCCAAAATATATTGCAAGTTTCAACTTTTTAAATTGAACAACTTGTAAAAAAAATTTCACTTTCCCAACCCCCTACCAAAAAAAGTAAGAATTCTCTTTCAGAAATTAGTCAATGAGTTAGAATAATTTTGTGGGACTTTTACATCTCAATCTAACTAACTGTTGTTAATTTATTTGAATGGTAGCTATGTACTTTAACCTACCACTGCTGAACCCATATCTTGCCAAAGGAAGTGACTTCACCTACGGAGCCAATTTCGCCGTGGCTGGCGCTACTGCTCTCGACGTAGCCGCTTTGGCTGCTCGAAATGTATCACTACCTCTTACACAAAGCAACTTGGATATGCAACTACGTTGGTTTAGATCCCTCCTCTACTCTACTCTCTCCGATCCAATAGGTACGTGTTACGCTACAACGTACCATTAGATGACAATATTGACTATTCTTGTTGTCATCAGTAATAAATAACACTAATGCATGACTGCATGGTACCAAATTATATACTACGTACCATTTTGTCAATGCCTATCATTAATATTTGCCTAAATAATGTTTACTCTTTCCGTCCCTTAATTATAGTCCATTTTGGTGAAATTTCACGGGAATTAAGAAACCTAAATAAATAGTAAAAGTAAATTGAAAAGGTAAATTTACATGGCGTATGCAAAAAAGTAGAGAGAGAAAGTAATAAAACTATATGAAAATGCAAAGTTTACATGAGAAAGCTAAATTTGCACAAATATTGTTGCAAATTGGAGGGAATTTTAGTAAGAAATCAATATTAATGGTTGCTGGGAAAAACAAATGGGGTGAACATTTGGAGACTAAAATTTTGGCCAAAAGGAACTATCATTAAGGGACGGAGGGAGTATAACTTTTTATAAATGATATAATATTGAGTGGTACAAAAGAGTTATGAAGATCGAATACCGCGTAATTTTCATAAATAATCGTACAATTTATTATGGAGTACTCCATAAATCATTTTTGTTAAATTAGTAATACTTGTAGCTTGCGTTTGGTAGGTTCTTGTTTGTAGGGTTTCCAAATCTTTGGAGAGCCACTTTTATTTATGATAGTGTTTATATTTACAGATATTTGTGTACGGAGTATGACATATTCTTGCACCAAATTTAATGTGGAAAGAAGTTAAAGATTTTTAATTTTCAAATCTTTGAAAAACTTCGTTTCTTATGAATTGAAAGTGCCATAATTTTAAGGACACACATTTTTGCAGAACACACATTTATATCTTTTTTTTTTTTTAAATGGCAGGACACATTTATATTCTTACACTAATTGACAAGTTAAAAGTCTTTTGACATACCTTTATACTCCCTTCATCCATTATTATTTGCACCATATAATTCAAAAAGTTCTCACAAAAAGTAGGTCTATGGTGCTAACAAAAAAGGACCGAGGGAATATAAAATAGAAAAAAATTGTTGTCAAAAAAATAAAAAAAATATTGCGTATGAAAGTTAAAATTATGTAGAAGGCAAATATATTGAACATTCAATAACATTGAATTAGTCGTAAGTTTGTCGTAATTTCAACTTACTTTCACGGGGAGAAATATAAATAACAAAAACTTAGGGAAAGATGATAATTTACCTTTACGCTATCAGAAATTTGACTAAAGCAATCCTAAAAGTTCACAAACTTTTATGATCGATCTAAAGAATATTGACATTGTATATTGTAATCACATGAAGAAATTAATACAATTAACTAGTCCTAAATCACAAAGAATTATGTCTATTTATTTATTAATGACATTTCCTTGTAATTGCATGCATGGTTGCAGAAATCAGAGAAAAACTCCAAAAATCATTGGTATTAATGGGAGAAATTGGAGGCAATGACTACAATTTCGCTTTCTTCCAAGGCAGAACTTTGGAAGAAGTATACCAGTTGGTCCCTCACGTTGTACAAACCATTAAAGATGCAGTTAAGGTATGTTGATCAAAAGTTGCTACTTTATAAAATTAATACTTTAGTTATTCACATTTCACGTTAATATTCTCTCTGTGTTAAGACTTACAAGTTGTCAGATTATCCTAATCTCTTTAAAATTATGTGTCACAATCAAATATCGTGTGTACTGAGATGAGTGTACTATAAACTTATTGTGAAATGTTGGGCTTGCTTTTGGATAAGTAACCTTATGTTGCTAAGGTTAGTAATTACTATGATTATTCTTGGGACATAGTAATGATTATATATCTTCTTCCCATTAATCACGTACTTAATTTTACCTACCATTTTGTGAAAATGCTATCATTGAGTACTAGTATACTTTGTATTAGAAAACTACATCACTTTTTTTCGGGATGACCTTAAATAATAAGTGTGTTTAGCGTTAATAATTCGGATTGAAGAGTGTAGTATTGAACACAAATTTTCTCTTGACTATATTGCAGGAAGTGATTCGGCTTGGGGCTACTAATATTGTGGTGCCCGGGAATTTCCCCATTGGTTGTGTGCCTCTTTATCTTGTTAAATTTGCTACCAGTGATGCATCGAAGTATGATGAACTTGAATGCCTTAAAGACTACAACGACTTTTCAAAGTATCACAATAATCTTTTAATAGAAGCCATCCAAGAGGTGCAACACGAACACCCGGGTGTTGCCATTGCATATGGAGACTACTACTCTGCCTTGACATGGGTCATTAGTCATGCTCCTCGATTAGGTAAACTGGTTATTCAATTTGTGCACCCCTCTAATCCCTTCTTAACATAATAAACAATAATAATTAGGTATTACTATCTTACGTTATTTCTAATCAAGTTGATAATTTATACTATAAGGTTAAAGCCTATATTTATATATCACTATATCATCAATATCCAAACCATATTTTACATTTTCCTAACCAAATGATGTTCTAGTCTTACAAAACTAGTAGGAGTATGGTGTATCAACATTGCAAGCTTTGACTTTGTACACATCCTATAATTTCAAGCTTTTGCTCAAAACATAACTAATTTGTAACCATGGAAAAAGATAAATTAAAAAGTTGGTGTGACAATATTTCCTTTGAATCAATCACAATTCACAAGAGGGATTTAGACCCGTGATTGATTCCATGAGTGGTCCATACTCCAATGCCTAGACAATACATGAGACAATATGTAAAAATGAAGTATTAATTGGAACTAACATGCCATCATATATTGCCAAATTATCACGTTATACTATTTTTGTGGTTGGACTTTTTGAAAGGCTTTGTAATAATAATTGCCCATTCACTTTCAATTTTCAAAGTTTATTCCATAAAATTTCATACAGGTATGTATATGTAACGGACTAACTTTAATTTGGGGACAAAGGAAATATTGTTAATTCTAATAATTCCCCATTCACTTTCAAAGTTTATTCCACAAAATTTAACATTTGGAGGACAGAGGAAATATTGTTAATCTAATTAGTCTTTGGATTGTTACTAAAAGACTAAAGGTTTCAAAATTTATTTATACAGGATTCGAGCGAAATGGATCGAAAAAGGCTTGTTGTGCAATTGGTCGCAATCCATACAATTATGACCTAAAAAGAAGTTGCGGAAGCCCTGGAGTTCCAGTTTGTCAAGATCCTAGTAAAACAGTAAATTGGGATGGAATTCATATGACTCAAGAGGGAAACAAAAATGTAGCCAGATGGTTATTGAGAAATTTTGTACCTACACTTCAAAAACGTCTTCATCCTTAATCGAAAAGGCAATAAATTATTACACTTTTTGATTATGATTTATTCAGATATCACAATTTGATATTCTATCTAGGCTAATGTCAATTTAAGAGCCATGTTTTGATTTTAAGCTCCATTGACATTTCGAGATTGTAATTGATAATAATCGATGGCCTATGTTGGACGATCCAAGAAAATGGACCTACAAGTTTGCACGAATTTCAAAGTTAAGGCTATATGTATTGCATATAATGGAACTAATTTGTCCTTTGAAATATGTCATCATTTAGGTATAAAATTGATAGGATTGGATCATGTGATATTCATATGTAAAAGTTTTAGTGTTATTTATGCAATAGTTATGCTCGTAAATTCGTAATCAACTACTTAATCATAAAATCAACTGCTCTATTAGGCTTTTGGCCCAATTTAGTTGATTGTTTAATTTGTAGATATTTCCATTATTTAATATAGCGCGTTAAATTTAACTAGAATTTAGCCTTGTAATGGCTGATTGTGAGGCTTTGTCCTCTTAATAATATTTTTTATTTCATTTCGCCATATAAAAAAAAAAAAAATGGAATTTAGCCAGAACACTTTTATTGGAAAACAAGGCTAGACTAGAGACAAGAGGCCCACTACACAAATCAATGTGCCCACTTTACTTCTTTAGCCCATTAGAGCTCACTATGCACCAAGAAGTTCTGTGGATGGGCGGATGGCTCATACTTGGGTGTGAGATTTATTTGCTTTCAAGTAACTTTAGATCAATTTCTTTTTCTCATGTTTTTACAGAAGTAAATGAGGCTGCTTATGTAATAGCACATCTTAGCCCTCTTGAGTATTCTACTCGAGTTTGGGTGGGGGAGTGCCTTTTAGTTTTTTCAGACACTGTTTTTTTGCTGCCAAGTTATTCAGACTTTGTAGCGGCATATTATTGTTCTTTCTTTAATAATAATTAATCGCCTTGCAGCCTCTTATAAAATAAATAAATAATAATAATAATAATGTGCACCATTTTTCAATTATAATTTGGATTACGGGTAAATGGAGTTAACAACCTCTTATTTGAAACGACAATATGGGCCATATGGCTCTAATATGGCTTGAAGCCAGTGTGAAAATTTTGAACCTAACCTAACCCAATCCAGCACGACGCAAACATGAACCAACATGAGTATCACTTGCTTTAAGTCTAACTTTTTTTTTTTTTTTTTTTTATCATATGAACATTATCTTATATTGTACTCCGTAAATCAACCATATTTTGTAGACGGTTCGATTAAAAAAACAAAACAAACAAAAAAAAAAAAACAGAAAAGTGTACACGGGCATTAATCACATAAAGAGGGAAAAAAAAAACTAAATTTGCATGAATTGATAACACAAAGTGACAAAGGCCAAATTTCTAGTGTCTAAAAAACACATTAAGCCCTTAAGAAATTGGGCCTGACAAAGTGAAAATAAAAGTCCTATAATGTGAGCTACTTTTGGACTAAGCCTAAAGTGAAAAGGGTTTAAGTTTGATTATGACTTTTGGAAAAATTAAAAATAAAAAGGCTTATCCAATGATAAAGTCTGTGTGATCCAACTTACGTCTGGGCAAAGAATCTTTGATTCTCATGTAAAATCCAAATCCAAATCCAAATCCAAAAGCATAATAATTAAAGCATTAATTTTGAAGAAGAAAACTTTTTGCAACTTGGAATATCTAATCTTCTATTTTACTCTTCTATTCCTTTTTTTTAATGCCTTTTTCAAAAATAATGTTCCATTTGATGTTGATATTCTTATATAGTACAGTAGTTTATACCCAAATTGGATATTTAATTCTTACAAGCTAGTACTAATTGTTCCATATATCTTTTCAGGTACTGCAAAAATTATTTTGATCCCAAAAATTATATTCTATTTTCACAAGAGAAAATATTTAGGTTATTATAATTCTAGATAGGGTTTGGACAAGATTGAGGAATTATAATTCTGACTTCGGTTCTTGAAAACATTGATTCTGACTTCCTGGTGCATTTTAGTCTAAACCCTAATAATGCTGACCGGTGACGTGATTTACTTTGAAAAAAGTACATAATATATTTTTTTAGTGAAGGTTTAATTATAAAACTATATATTTACACTTTGTTTTAGTGAAATCATTCAATAAAAAGTTTAAAATCACAAATCTGGTTTAAATTGGACTGAGCATACAAAATCCGATTTGGATAAAATTGGACCGAATATATCAGCTAGAACAACGACGAACAAACATCATAATTACATAGGTAACTAGTCATTCCCTTAATTTAATTTCGATATTTCAATTCAATCTAAATATGTGAAGGTTCATAGTCCTAGTATTCATGCATTCAATTAGGAGATAATGTTTTGTCATTAAAATATTTTTAATTATAGATTAAATCTATACAATTTTGATTTGATTTTGGATTTTTGAAACGTGGTGATTTAATTGCCTCCATGCATGACTTTTACAGGTACCTTTTACTAGGATTAATCATTGGATTTATAACGTGAGGAAGGGGATCTTGCAATACATATTAGGGTGACAAATGTTTGATTCTAGAACCTAAAACTTACATACAGCATGCAGATTCTAACTATAAGAGGAAATCAGAATCTTGTAACTTGTACGTGCATCATAAGTAACCATATAGTAGTAAAACCTAAAGCAAAGTTTAAGGGGCAACATCTTGATGCACCCAAACAAATAAGGATCCTCCTTATGTAAGACAATTGATTTACTAACTTCTTTCCTCATAAATTGAAAAATAGAATTTTCAAAATTCATACTCGTTATGTGTGTTATGTGTGTTGCGTTGGTAACAAACTTGAAAAATTACAATTCATATATAATTCCGTATCCACCCCTATTCAACAACTCTATTAGGCCCTGCCCTACCTAAGACTTATATGCGAAATAAACGAAAATTTTTAATTTTAATATTTCAACATTATTGGTAAAAAGTTACAAAGAAAATAGCACACGTACACTTAGTTATAACATAGAATAAGATCTAATTTTCACAATTAAACTGAGTTTTATAATACTCCGTGTTTGAAATTTAAACCTCGACAAAGCTCATGACTCACCTACAAATTCGAACGAAAACTATAACGAGCGAGCCTAGCTTGACGAACCCAAGCTCAATCTCAACTTGCTTGATTATCACCCCCTAATTTTACAAGTTACTGTAAGATTTTTTTTTTTTTTTTAATTTTTTTTTTAAACTCGAGTGTATAGATTAAAATTTGAGTATTGAATTACCAAAAATTCGCCGTTAAAAGTTGGAAAACAAACTGTTTATTTATTTATGGTTAAAGTTTGGTTTCCAAACACACTAATAGTATTAGACACCCCTCCAAAAAACTACCAACTAGGCCAAACAATAGCCGCCGCATTTCCATTTAAACTATACGAGGAAGCAAAGTAGAGATGAAGTAGAAACACAATTCATCAATGGCAGTTTATTCCTTTGTTCTTCCTCTCTTCTTCCTTCTTCCTCTCTTCACTCTACTTGTCTCAATCACAAATTAATTCACAAATTTATCTTCCTTTCTTTCCTTTGAAATTATCCTTAAAACTTTCCAACAAAGTTAAGTAACTTAATTTTTCACAAAAACTCCTTTCACACATTCAATTATTTTCATCAAATTTCATGTTATTTCTTGCTATATAACTTCATTATGCTTTCTTTCTCTTAAAATTTTCTCAACATTTTTTCATACTCATTTTTTGGTGGGTTCATTTTACCAATTGATATTGGTTAGCAAGTATGCTTCTAAGAGCCCACATTTATGTCTTTTTCATTGCCCTGATTTTATGTAATTGTATGTTTGATTTTGTTTCGGCTTCGCCTTCGTCTGCGGCTGCTGCTTTTAATCTTAGTCTTCCTCATGAACATCCTTACCCTGAACATATTGTTCGAGAATTTCACAGGTTAATAAAGCTACAATTTTGTGGGTTTAATTTGATAATGTTTTACTCATTTTAACTCATTCATTCTATATTAAGCATTGAATTTAGGAATAATTACATTGTTAATCTCTGTTTTTTGCTTCAAAATTTCTGCTTTTTAGTACATGGTTTATAAAGTTAAGGAAAACAATGAGAATGTATCAATTATTCAAATGCATTCTACTTAGTTTTTATGCTTTAATTCATTTTGTTTCAAGCATATAATAACATTATTGCTGTAATGTAGTAATGATATCGTATCCGTCTGCAACCTAGATTACTACCTCCATTCAAAAAGAGGCGCGGAATTTGAACTATAAACTGTTTTTTTTGCTCAGAAATTTGTCAATTCTATTTTTGTAAGCTCTGTTTTCCTCTGTTTTAAGATGAATTTGCATACCTCATTATGATAATTTTACAATCTAGATTACACTTTTTCCATCAAATTTCATCTGGGAATTTTCAATTCTTTAATGGGTATTTAAAAAAAATTAAAATAAAAGAACTAATGTTAAAATAATGCGACTATTTAATCATAATAACATAGATTATGTTCTCTGCTTTTCTTGCAGGAGAGTTAATGTGTCTCTAAGCAGAAGGAAAACCCTAGAAACAATCCAAGAAAAGGACCAGTTTTCTTGTGTAACTGGTAATCCAATTGATGATTGTTGGAAATGTGACCCTAATTGGGCTGGTAACCGGCAACAATTAGCCGATTGTGCAATTGGGTTCGGGTACAAGGCACTTGGTGGCAAAGGTGGTCCTATCTATGTGGTTACGGACTCAACGGACCCGGACCCACATAAGCCTAAGCCAGGGACCTTACGTGACGCCGTTAGCCAACCGGGCCCGGTTTGGATAATATTTGCTAGTGACATGCTTATTAAGCTCAAAAGTCCTCTAGTAGTCACAAGTTTTAAGACAATTGATGGACGTGGTGTTCATGTTGAGGTAACGGGTGGAGGGTGCATATCAATTGAGCATGTTACAAATGTGATCGTTCACAATATTAACATACATCATTGTTACCCCGCTGACTCGGATGGTGATGGGTTACATATTTTTTCGTCTAGTAATATTTGGATAGACCATT